AAACTGCCCTTTGTGGTCACTTGACATCTGTTGGTAGTGGACCGATTGAAGCCAGTCTGACCACCGTGCCCACCATGCAGTTTGGAAATCAAACACGCTAAGACGTGTTCACTAAGTCAATGGTAACAAATGTGCCTGACCCAGCCCAACTTCTACCATGCCACTTTGCGGATGTGATCCAGCAAAAGCCTCTTCTCTGCCAGCAGCTGGGGCGGGCTCGCTTGGTTGATCGCCTTGGCGTGCTCCTCCAACTGAGTCTTGATCACCTCTTGGTCATCAAACCTGGGCCGGGGCGATCAGCACTATGAACCCACAAGCTAATTCGATTTGATGGGATTCGACTTGATGTCACAGTGTCACGACACAATAACACAATGTAGCAAACATGTCCCTGTCACATTCACATTAGGGGTGAAGTGACTTGAAGTGAATGAGTAGTGTTGTTTCCATTGGTTCACTCTCAACTCCCAACTTGACACACTGTAATATGGGTGTCAGGATGCAGGCTGCAGGACGTGAAACAAATAAGCCCTGCGCTGCTGCACCAAAGAAGTACGATACACATATGATGCCAATGCTCCATACTGGTCTTTACCAGCAGGAAGGGGTAGTAGATCACCCACTCCGCCCCCGAGCATTCGGGAGATGGCAGTGTGCAGGCCATGGAACGTGCACAATGGCTGATGGCACTGGAGGAACCTCACCATTTCCTCACAATGGCAGTGGGCGTGCCCATACTGTGGGGAAGGGAACTCAAGACCTCTGTCAGTCAGGAACTATCCCATTTTGTTAAGTGGTGTCAGTATTGGCGCACTCAAAGCAAATCAATAGTCGGTACATACTCATCAGGTGACAAACTAGTGGTCACCCCGCCCGACAGCCACACAACTTGTGACATATCCATCCACAGTGCCCAAACAACAACCAAACTGATAACATCACTGATCCGGCCTGCGGGCTGGTCTTCACCATGTGTTCTATGGCAGGCCATTTGAGCTCCATGGATATGGTTGCAGGTCCACAGTGTGGGGATCGTCTCGTGAGCCTAGATGTGCTGGCGTGGATGCCCTCCGTGCTACGTTCCTTGCAGCTTGTGGAGGCCGTGGAGGCCAGTGCTAATCACTACCAGTCAACACTTTGCAAGCCACAATGTCGGTTGGTGTATGACCGGTGTGTGTGTGTGACTCTGTGACCATTGATGTGTGTGAGAGCCATTGTCGGTAACCAAAACAAACGTGCCAAGTCCAAATGGGACCACAAAACGGGCCTACTATAGTACGCTGAGAATCTTGAAGCTTGATCCGAGCAAGAGCTTCTGTCCACAGCTTGAATTCATCAGGTAAGTCAGCAGCAGTCCCTCGATTGATAAACAAATCCAAAGCGGCAGCCAAGGGAGGGTCTGACGGGTCCGCCTCCACAACGGTGTCAGTGTCCATCATGAAGTGGTCTTGGAGACCTCAGGGGAGAGCACTGCAGCGGCAGAAGGGGACAGCATGGTGGTGAAGAGAACGGGAACAAAGGGAACAGTTGAGTCGAGTGATTGGATACACTGCATCAGGGTTACCCCTTTGCAAGAAACATACAATCAGCTGAATTCAGTTGAACCAAGTTGTATCTACTATACACTATATCCATTATCCACCCTGTACTTTGGGGGCCATTGAAGCACGGCCTTCCATATATTGCACACCCACCACAAAGTACTGTAAATGACAACGGGACTTCCTGCTCAGGTTCATGGAGCCCAAACAAACAAGCCGACGAACGTGGTTGTGTAATGTGCCTCGCCAGGATGGGTCCAAAAATCTCCGTGTCATTGGGTGAGATGTTTTTTGCTGCAAAGGCGTGAGGCGAGCCCACATATTTTGACAAGTCCTCCCAATACACCGTGCAATAGAAAGTTGCGACACGCTCAGCCCGAGCAACTTCCAGGGAAGTTCGTCCCAATAGTGCAGTTTGATGTCAAACTCTAGCTGGAGTCGTGCGTTGGCTGCGTGCCAATCACCTATCAACAATTTTTTTTTGGCGGATGACATCGGAACTGATGAGCTGTTTGTAATCGCCACCACCATCGCAGTTGTATACGATTGTGTTTCAGTCAGCAAATGTTTGTGACACCCAGCGGCGAGCTCGCCGCCCCTGCAGCCCTTGTATGGGCACCAACTGCTGTCACAGTTCGAGGCATGATACCAGCAGCCTTCCGCCCAACGGGATAAGCAATCAGCAGCCTTGGAGATTTCAAGAATAAGCTCAGCATATTGCCAAAAAAATCGCTTTTGACAATCACATTGGTCTCCTTGTAGGTCTTCGTCCCCTGCCACCATGAGTGGGAATTTCTAACCCCACTTGCATGATCATGATTACCCCACATGCCAATCAATGCACCATCTGAATCTGAGGCAAGCGTTGTGAGATTCCTAAAACAAATCGATGAGTCCAGCCCAGATCACACCCCCTACAGCTAGCAACAACAGCACATCAATGTGTGTCCAAGCCAGGCCTGATGGTGCTGATCGCCATGGCACACATTGCATCGCATGGGGCAGCAGGCCATTTCCAAATGAAACTTACATATACCCCTGAACATGGGCCTGAAATACACTAAAAATCACTTGGTTTGCTGCTTTTGTCACGTACCTAAAGTGGAACCATGATGTTATACTCAGTTCATGGTACCATTACCTCGTGAAATTTCATGTGATTGAACATTCCCTCAATGGTGAAACTAGCAGCAGCAATCGGCCGGCGAGACCACCACCGCATCACGCCAAGCTCCCTCCCACGATCCGGAAAACGTCATGCCATGACCCCTCGAAAAGTTAGGTTTATGACACTCCTTCCCGGACAATCTCGCGAAAATTACCACCATGCAGCGTCTAAATTTACAATGATTTCGTTGCCCTTTCGCGGTTCCATCGCCGGCCTTTCGCGGCTCGAGTTTTCCCAAACGCGCGGTTCAACAAGTTGCCGCTGTTCATAAGTTTTAGACATGCAATTACGGACGACCCCCACATGCATGACTTGATGTCAGAGCTATTTCACTCGCTCACAACATACCTTTCCAATCCTTTTCGCCCTCATCTACCAGCTACATCCTACATCATATGATTTCTGTATGGTTGTGTGGCTTGATGAGTAGATGAGAGCGGGTTAACATCTTGCTTCCCGCTCCATCCCCTTCCGCTTGTTCACCATCCCTCGCCCGGGCGCCGATAGAACCGACACACGAAGCTTTGATATGTTCCCTTTGGACATTTTCCCAGAATTCTCCCATTGCTAGGCTGGAATCAGGACCCCAGCATTTTTGTTTGCCTGGTTAGTGGAAAACAAAGGGGACCCCAAAAAGCAAGAAAGCAAAAAGGGGAGCTAATTCTGGGGAAGATTGGACGGAATTCTCCCTTTGGAAATCTCCCGTTGGAATTGTCCCATGGGAGCTTTCCCCAAATTTCTCGATCAACAAACAGGGAGACTCCCCAATGCCCCATGTCCAGTAGGGTGACAGTACGGGTTTTGATGGAATGCGGGGCCTCAAAGGGAAGATTCCAAAAGGCAAAGTCCAATGGAAAAATACCAATGGGACAGTTCCAATGGACAAATTTGAATGGGACAATTCCCAAGGAAAACTTCCTCTGGGAAAAAAACCCAAAGGTACAAATATTGAAAGAAAGCAGGCGTGTAATGTCGGCGGCCTGAGCCGGAGGCGTTAAAGATGGGGAGTAAACCATTTCCCTCCCAAATGGACCATAGACTGTTTGGCTATTCTGACAGAACCTCCTACCTGTAAATTCTGCAATCATTCCAAAACCTGAAGTAGAAGGGATCCCCTAGACATCATGGTGCCGCTTCACTACTGACTGTAAGCCCTGACCCTTTGTCCGTTTTCACGTTTTTTCCGCTTACATCCACCCTACATGGAATCGACCGAAAGGAGTCGTGAACATGGTTTTGGGGACCAGGAACCTTCAATGCTCAGCTGCCCAACGGACCCTTTGGGACCTTGACTAAACATGGACCAAAAGGTCAACAAGTCGGCTTTCGAGAACTGAGAATGTCATCTTGGAATTCATTGGGAGGACCATAGTTACTTGTCAGGGGTGATTCCCCAAAAAGGGGGAATCAATCCATATTTGGACTTCTCGGACGATTCAATCAAAAGTTAAGACTGTATAACCCAGGCATTTTCTTGCACGTTTGATTTCGGAACTTGCCTTTGTTCATGGCTTGCCATGAGTCACTGCAATGATTACATGTTCCACTTTCTACGAAACTGCTTGGACAAATTCTTCAACCCTAACTTCTGCATGCAATCGCCTACTTGGTATGCCGGCTGACCCATTCATGTGGGCCAGACCTCGACCCAGATAGCAACAAAAACTACCCACAAAAATTGGGTATTGCCATGTCCATTTTTTAAAGGGTATTCTGGCAATACCCAATTTTGGGAAAATACCCTTCAACATGTTTGCAGGTTGCCTTCATTACCCAATTTAAAGGTTCACTAAAACGGAAAATGAAGGGGACCCAACAAGGTGACGAAACAGGCAGGCGAAGTCTGGCAACGATATCGGCCCGAGTGGGTCATGTGTCCAGGGCTACCTCGAAGTACCTCGCTTCCAAGAGCATTTGCCAAAAAGTCCATGTTTCTTCTTTGCCACACCAAAGGTGACTTAAGTCCAGGGCCTCAGGGAGTTGAACCCCAAGCCGAGGAATAGGCTTGGAGTCCGTTTTTGCGGTTCCTTGCATTTTCCAACGTCTGACTTGCTTGTTTTGGGGGGCCTTCTCCTTCTTTCCCCCTCCCCAATAAATCGCAACAAGTCGAGATGTGCGCGATCGCAAACCCAGAGGGTCCCTTGGTACCTCATGAGGATGGCTTTTGGGAGTAAAAAGGGGTCGTTCAGTACCTCCTCAGAAGCCAAGGGACCCTCTGAAAAAACGGCAAAGAGTCGAAGATTTCCTCCGATTCCTGGCCCTTGCCGGGCCCCAGGACCCCGGATTCGAGCCTGCTTCCAGTCGCCGGCGAAGGTGTGCGCATCGCCCAGGCGATCGTGCAAGGCCCAGTCCCCGTAGATCTGCCTCGGATGCCAAAAGCTTCGGGCCTACAAATGATAACCCAAAAGTCATTCATGTCCAGTTGTAGACAAACCCAATAAATCCATTTGCCTGGTTTTGTAGGTCACCAAGGCAAGCGCCACCCTTTGAGAAACGAAAGGGAAATAGCTGGCTACCTGCTTTTTCTGGGTTTGCCTGGGATCCACTGAGACCACTCTGTGCGCTCTTTCCAGTCCGTCTGCCTTGTTTGGCTCCAAGCCGCATGTTAGGTGCCACAGGTCACATTTGGGCCAGTGGTACAAGCGACAGGCTCTGGAAGCGGTGTCGTCCACATTGCGGGGGTTCAGCACTCGATGAAACAAGAAAAACATCAGGCCGTAGGTCAACACCGATGGTACTATTTTGGGGTAGGTGCACCACCCATTTAGAACCTATTTTAGGGGGGATTGGGATGTTCACTGGGGGTACGATTTGGCTTTTGACCCATAGCCAGAAGGGTCACTGAGAACCAGCGAGTCCTCGATCCTGCCTTCGGTGCTTCGATTGACACCTCCTTGAAAAACAGTAGATTAACCCCAACGACTTTTGACACCTCCTTGAAAAAGGAGAGCATGCTGGAAGCGTGCTGGAAGCGTGTGGCGAGTGAACAAACCACAGAATCATTATCTAGGTGCTCCAGTTGAGAGGTTAGAAAAAGTTGGTAACCTTTTTTCTCTGTTGGTCTATTTTAGTAGGGAACCCGGGAACCCTCCCCCTACTAAAGGGTGAGAAAGGGCACTACTGGGGGACCTAGTTTTGGAGAAGACCCCGAGCAAAGTTCACAAGACAAGCCGCAGGTGCATGGCCATCCACAAGACGTTGGCGATGAGGATACCTCAGCAAATCGGCAAGGAGGCCTGTGCCGTTGTCCTCAACACCGGGAAAAAATACATAACCACCATAGGTGTCCTTCTGGAGAAATAGATGGCCCTGGTACATAAAATAAAGCCAATCTAAACCATCGTAACAACACGCAACGCATGTGATTTGTCTAATTCGCACAACAACAACGACCATGTAAGTGTCGTGGAATTTGAGGCCCTCCCTGGAGCCTTAGGCCAGGTGCCGAACACGGCTTGAGTAATAAAGCTGCAGGGGGGTATTCACCTATGAAATCCAGGTCGGTCGGAAAAAAACGGGGCCGACAAGGGTGCCCTTGTGTCTACATGTGTCTTTGTTGCCCTTAGTGCTGTGGATGATTGCGAAATCCGCTCGCACCACTTTGAAAACATTGGGAAACCGTTGTTTGTTGGTATTTACAGGGGGAATCACCATCCCAGAGTTTCTCTCCGCAGGATTTCGTCCCACAGTTTCACTCCTGGGCAAAGAAGACCCCAAGCAGGGCCAGGGATCTTGGGGACGTCGCCTCCAGGACCGAAGGCTGTGACGCATAGGCCATCGGCTGAGTGGATAGCTTGGCTTAGTCAATCGCACAGAAACAGGGACTCATAGCAGACGTAAACAAGCTCTCACAACCTTCACCGAGGCTATCACTCACGTGAGAGCTAATATGTTCGGATTCGTCTATATTTGGTCGATCCACCTTCATACGGCTACCGGCCCATACTGTCTTCGTTCCTTTTGGGGAGAAGTATGAACAACAACAAGGTATTTGGAGTCATTTGCCGCATGAGGTAACGTATGCCCCAATCACCCCCCCGGAAGACCGAAATATTCCACTTCGCAGTTTGGTGTGGGGGCTGGGAGAGTTTTAATGCGTGTAAGCTCCAACGGGCTCCCGAACAGGAAACCTGACCTTTGCAGCAAAATGCGGCAAACCTATCAGGTCTGACTGGTGTGTTTTGACATGCTAGTCTACTTTTAGGCCCCAATGGGTCAACCCGCTTCATGCTTTGAGCAATCGAGTAACCTACTAAATGGGATCCTCCAAATTCAGTTGTGACATTTTGAACATGGGGTCACAGGCCTAGATGCTTTGAATCCCTAGCAAAACGGCGGGTAAGGCATCCCAAAGTAAGAATTCTGGGGACTATATCGCTTGGTTTTCCTCACAGATCCATTTCCCGACCCACATCGGCCCACAAACCGCACTATGATGCGCACAATTGCTTGTCTTACCCCCATCACTCGCGCTGATTTGTGCAGAGCCCGCTTTCCGACAATCATGGAAGCAGGCATCCCTGAAAATGAACATGAACAAGGAAGGTATGGCTGGACATGTGTGCGTGTGTCTTTTTTGAGGGCACCCTTTTCAGCTTGGTTTCAAGGGAAGGAGAACACCTTTTTCTGGAGCCACCCCAAGATATATAAACCACCCAATTTTGGGAGCCGGGTTGTGGGAAGAGCCCGGCTCTGTGATATCAATGGCAGATGAGTCGTTTTATTTTAAAGGGGGAGGATTCCTGGCGTCATGGAAGTGGGAAGCAACGAATCATTCCCACAGCTCACATTTAACTTAACACGCACACACACACACACTTAAACTCCAGATGGAGAGTGCTAATCTTTCGAGTACAACTGATGAGTCTCGAGTACAACTGATGAGTCTCGACTGGGTTCTGCTCGCGGTGCACTCGGCTTCCCTCTAGCAGCGAACACGTTACCCGAAAGAACAAGAAGCACAAACAGCGCCGCAACCAAGGGGGCCAAAAGGACTTTCAGAATCACGGAAAGCAGGTACGCCGGATTGATCAGATCCGGTATCCCATGACTGAGGTAGCTTCGTTGAGTGCGGTCCCTCAGTCATGCCGCACTCCCCCGCTTTTCCTGTGGTGACAGGGTATTCTGTCACTCCGCACACACACAGCGTTTTGAAGGTGCCGACCACACAACCAGCAACAGCAACTCGGATCGCGCGATAATGCGTTTTGAAGCTGCCAACCATGATGATCTCCAAGATGGGGGCGAGGCCACCACAGGCATTCCTGGCACGCAAAAACAATAATCAGAAACCCGCCTATTGTGCCATGGAACTTGCCTCGGGTCCTTTCACACTAGCACACAAAAAACATAACATGGTTGACCTAATTTGGATGAGGACAATCCTTAGCTACACCATGGTGGCTATGAACCCAACCATTGCTTTACTGGTGGTTTGAACCCCAGGCTTCAGGAAAATAGCCCAAAGGACCCCGAAACAGGTCCAACTTTTCTCCAAAGAGTGGGCAGGCTGCATGCCCGGTTTTGGGGAAAACACCCAAAAAGAAAAACAAAACGGCACTTGGGGTTTGGGCCCTGGGGCAAGGCTGGGTTTGGATCGGTCGCTTTATCAGGTGAAGGGATGAACCGCCGTCTATCACTCCACGAGATGACTGGGACAGAAAGTGATGGGATCTTGGTCACCGACGAGTGTCCTTTGGGGAAAGGTGAAGCTGGATGACTTTTGCACCCAGGTTCATCAGTAGTGCTTAAAGCCCCTGCAAACAAGAACAAACACAAAGAAAGCTACTTCCCTACGGGTTCAAATAGATGTTTGCCCCTCACATACATGTGGAAGACCGAAGAGAGCCTTTTGGGGTGTCGTGAGCCCCAGACCCACCCTGGCGGAGTGACGTGGCCCATCAGTCCACCAAATGTCATGTTCTTGGATTCTGTTCCAGTAGGGATGAAAATCATCAGCCCCATAGGTGTCCTTTTGGCAAAAAAACATGGCCCTGGTAAATGGAATAAAACCTATCTATATAAACCAGTGCCTTCTATTTGTGACCACACCAACCTAAAAAGGACACCTATGATCAGCCCCCTAGCCCCCCCAACTGGGCTCGAACCCTTCGAAGGGTTCTTAGAAAGGCCCCGCGTGAGCCCGGACTGAACATTGCCTCGATTCAAAACGAGACCAGTAAACTCTGGAGCCGGGAAATCAGAAGTCCAAGGAAGTCTTCAAACAACTTTTGAGTCACTTGCTCAAAACCCGGAATTACAATGGTCGACGCAGGACCATGCTTCAAGCATGAAGAAGGCGGCACCCCGACGTCGTCATTGCAGGTTGGCAACCGGGATATTTGCAACCAGAGCTATGCTCAGCCCTCAAAATAATATTAGACGGGCAAATTCCACACCAAGCAGCTGGATTTCAGCGGAATATCAACCAGTATTCAAATCCATGCTTCCCAACTGGCACGAAGAGGAATTTCTCCATCCGCAGTCCAAAACTTCAAACTCTCACAGGCATCGACCCAAAACTCATGTCTCCTCCCGCTTCTTTCATCTTGCTTCGTAGCAGGGAATGAAGGAATGACCCCGAAATGAGGCCATTTGTGGCTTCCCAATGATTATTCCACTATTCCACTTCTTTCCCACGTTTCCCTGAGAATCGGGTCGATCTCAGCCGCAAGGAGTTGCTCGCAAAGTTGGTCCTTGTTGGGACCTAATACCCATGTGCAAATTTTAATATAATTCTAGAAGCTGAATTAATTGATGTTCAGGTAAGTGACCTTTATGGCTTTCGCTCGCTATACCCCCGAATCAGTGAGCTCGCCAAAAAATATGCCAGGACCCATGGTAAAGAAACGACCACATTCATTGGGCCTAGTGAAAACTGTTCACCAGCCACAGGAATCATTCGGCAAAAAACACGTCACCTAGACCGAAGGTCGCCCCCGCTCGATCCGAAATAGACGATCGCACACCATCCCTTTTCCTGTAGGGCGGCTGCCGTTGGGTTCAACAGTTTTCTGAAAACCCGCAACTGACGAGATTGAAATCGCGGGTCTTGGGTATCAGAATTTCTGGGCCTTACTTGATCTGGGGCCTCTGTGGTACAAAGAAATAGTGTGTCTGGATGCTGGTTTTCTACATTTGGTACGGAGCATCCCAGTCATGCCCCGGTGTAGAGGTTGTTCGAACCTGAAATCCCAGTGCCCCGCCTTTCTTCTGACAGCAGCTCAGAACGAGCAGTAGTTGGTGAGATCATCCCACTCTGCTGCCTGAATTCCCGGAAACGGACGACCGAGTGCTTCATCCTCTTCGGGGATCCCTGGAACACGGGGATGGTCTCTGAAAAAATATGATGGGTGACGAAAGAGGTTGGGGAATCAATCCTTGCAATGACTTGCAAGACCTGACCTCTGTGGGCAACTCCCTCAAAGAACTCAATCTTGGGCCTTCCCCTCAAAAGTCGAAGCGCTCACTTTCTGAGACTCCGAACTCCATCAGCCCAAAAGTCGCCCTTCCCCCCCCCATTGCCCATGGCCCCCCGTTTGCCACACAACCGGTCTTCCCAAAAAACAACGTTGACCCCAAACAAATTAACCTCTGGTTGATTAATCTAGGGGTGTCCCCGTTTTCGTGCGGTTCGTCACCAATTTAAGGGACCCACCCTCCGCCCCCAAACAAAAGGGGGGTTGTCAACATAAGCTGCCAGTCCATAGAAATTCAGAAGCGCTCCCATCACAGCAGCCCGCGACCCACTCTCGCGCGGGCGCGAGAGTGCCTTGTGAGCAAGCGCTCGAAACCCAGGCCACGCTCGGTTCTGCGAAGATGGCTTTGTTTATGTTGGCTTCCTGGCACCCCGTATGGCTGTTTTTTTTTCGGTCAAACTCCCGTATTTGGCCGTATTTGCCCGTATGGCCATGATTTTTCGGTCATTTGCGTAAATCACCCGAATGAAACCCATTCCCAGGTTACTATGTAAGCTCCATGACTGGGTTTATCTCCTCTTATGAGTGAAAGGTCTAACCTGTTGTGCGTAGGTTTAATGGACAAGTTTTGTCCAAGCCAACTGAGTGCTTCTTTTTCGAGCGTACCCTCATGGGCTGCTTCAAGAGGGGCATCACATGAAGCGTCCATCGGGGGTTCCCTCGTTTATCTCCTGTGTGGTGATTTCAACCCTCCTCGGCCCACTGAAAAAAAGCAACGTGGTCGTCAAAGTTAGCCTTGAAATAAACATAATAATGGCTTAGGAGACAATGATATCCTGGGTCGTCTTATTTAGTCTTGAAGAAAATTAGGAGACTCCAGTTGAATTTGGGAAACCCTTCCAGGAGGAACCCTTTCCAGGCGCTACGAGAAAAGGGGCGATCGGGTACTTAGTAAGTCGTTACTCACTATTGTGAGATAACCCACTGAACGGAGACTTATAACCATGGCAAGTGAGTGAAAGGCCATGGCTACCAACCACTTACCTGACGTACCCTACCTCTTTAAGCTGGAAAAAGTGCTTCTCCAGTCCAAAGCCATGAAGGGAAAGTCTCCTCAGTGGGTGAACAAATCATGGTTACTAGCCACCGACCAGACGTACCGAATCAGCCGCCCCTTTAAGTACCTGGAGTCGCCTTCCGACCCTTTCATGGGGTCATGACCTAAATTAATGGGGTCATGGACCTACTGTGGATGGACGAAATCCTGCACCAGCTAAGAAACCCTGGAATGATTTGCTTCCCCTGTAAATACCCACAAATGATGGGTTTGCCCTGGTTTCCAAGTGGTGCGAAATGGATTGCGTCCATCCACAACTTTTTTAAAAATGGTCTCCGCTGGAGACTGCAGGTCTCCGAGAAGACACTTCAGCTCTCCCTCCCGAAGTCTAGGGGACACGTCCCCATTCCAAAAATCCGAATCTCTCCAGAAAACCATCAGAATCCCAGTGCCAGGTTGGACACAGCCATCGGTTGAAAAGAACCATGGTTGAAAAGAAAAGGAATATGAGCCGCTGTGCCGAAATGTGTCCTAATTAACTTTTTCTTTCGGTTTCTCATGAGCGACCCTGTCTCAAAGTGGAATAGAAAGGCCATGGTATGCCTAGCTCCACCCACTACCCACCGAGTCTCCGTTGGAAGGGGAGCAAACAATTAAATTTTAGCAGTTAAGTGGTTGGATATTTCAACCACTAAACCACAAGAAGATCAAAATTGTGAAACATGTTTCCCAACAACAACAAACCACCAGTAGGACATCCGGAATCCACCCCTCCCTACTAGAATCCACCCCTCCCCACTAGCTCCCCCTACCTACTAGAATCCACCCCTCCCCTTCCCAATCCGGACATCCGGACCTCCGAAAATCCCGGGGCAGGGTGCTCATCCCAAACCTCGAGGATCGACTCCGCCTCCACCTCGCCTCAGCAAGGTCCCATCCCACGAGGGCCATGGACCGTGCGCCTCAAATTCGGGGCTCCCATAGGTTAGGTCCAGTAGAGAGGCTGGAATAAGTTGGTAATTACCCACTTTTTTCCAGTTGTGTCTATTTTAGTAGGGGAAAACCCTCCCAACCAAAAAAGAAATGGGTGAGAAAGGGCACTACTGGACCTAGTCCCCATTCATTTAGGGCCCTCGTTTTGAGACCCCTAAACACCTCCGAAATGTCCCAATGGAGGGGTCGGGTCTTCCATTGAATGCCCCAGGAGCCTCTGTGTAATGGAATTCTCAGAATGGCACCTTGTTTTTTTTGGAACCAAAGACTAAAACCGGCGGTTTGCCCTAGCTCTTGAATTTTGAGCCACACGCATATGGGGCTTACCTCCAAAGACCTCAAAGAATTTGATCTTGGGCTCCCAGGGATACCTTCCTGAACGCCCAATGCACCGTCCCGATGCTCCTGCCGAACGACCCAGAAAAAAAAAGTGGTAGGGCAGAAACAAGGGCCTTTGAGCAAGCCTCCCATCAGGATTCCTTTCACTCCTGATGATTTATTTGCATGTTCGAAAGCTCTCGGAGAAATAAACACCATTATGATGCCACTTGTGTAACTCCGATTCCCGTACATCCCCTATTTGCACCCTTTTGCACCAGATACTGTCTTTTCTTAGTGGTTGATCCCTTGCGAACGGTTTCTACTCTTTGACGGGCGGGGAAATTTGTTGTGACGCATCTAAACGTGCCCAGCCCCACACGCCATAGCAGCGGTCACCTGGTACCTGACTGCATCACTCTGCATCTAGGTCCTCCAGTAGAGAGGCTAGACATGGCTAGAATAAGTTGGTACCTTTTTTCCCTGTAGTCTATTTTAGTAGGGGAACCCTCCCCCAAAAAAGGGGAGAGAAGGGCACTACTAAACAAACCTAGGCATCATCATTCAAGGACCGAAAATCAACAATTGTGGCTCAAAATTAAACCGCTGGGGTTACGCATTGTTGTAGTCTACCTTTTCATTTACCAGGGCAAGCCATTTGGGACCTCCATTTTTGAGCGCCCAAATGATCCCTGTGACATCACGTTGCGATTTGTTTTCCCAAGTCCTCCATCGGGAGAAAGAAACATGGCCGGAAGCAAGGGGAATCACCTGGAAGCGAAATGCATTTGGGTGTGTCGTTCTTGAGGTCGTTTTGAAGGGAAACCAAACAAGTTGAAAACCACTATTCTGTTTGGGGGGGTGCCTTAAAGAAAGAGTCACCCCCAGTGAGTGCCAATGACCTTCACAGAAAAGGGACTCGAAACCTTTGCGGATGAAAAGTTCGACACGGTTTCGACCCAGGTGTGGGGTCACGGACCCCCCCAATTAAATCAACCAAATCAACCAAAGCCACCTAAGCTTGGTTGACGTTGGAAGGGGAGCAACAATTTAAAATGTTTAGCTATTAAGTGGTTGGATTTCAACCACTAAACCACAATAAGCAAAAATGGGAAAATGTTACCCAACAACAACCATGTAAGGAGCACCACAGCTGGAAAACGGCAAGCCGCCAAAAAACAGAGAGGCACTCCCCCCCAATTCCAATTCCGTCCAAGAGGCGCATGCCTGCATGCTTCATCTGCAAGGCTTCCGCCATGCTTGGAGACCTCTAGTGCGCGCTTTTGGTGGCTGACTGCGCCACCTGGTGTGGGGGGTTCACGAGTTTTTCGTCCCATTTAAGCCAACCCATGCCCTCCAGAAGGGTCCCCTTGCAAAACAAATATGTCCAGTAGTGATACATTCCCTTCAAAACCAACACGGGCAAATAACACCATATCCCAGAGGGTCCCTTGGTACCTTCTAGATCCCTTTTCACCCCCAAAAAGCCTATCGTGAAACGCAAAGGGAAGATTCGGGAGACTTTTGCGACAAGCCAGAGGTCAACAGATCCAAAAGCCCAGGTCGCGAACTCTGTCCGAGAAGCGGCGGCATGTGGGTGTGTTTTGTGGGACACTCTTCAGCGTGTTTTCGCGAAAGAAAGACCAAAACAAAAACACTGAAAAACCAAAAAACTTTGGGTAAACCGGCCCCCAAAACTGTTTTCCTCATACTGTGCACTCCTGAAAAATGCGACGCTCTTCCACAATGATTCACCAACCTGGAAAGGCAAGGGGCACCCGTTCCCTGCTCCAATTCCTCGCATCTCTCACCGCTCATCCCTCCTACTCATGGACAAAATCCATTTCACACCAGTTGGGATTGGTGTTCACCCTAGTATTCACGGGGTTTCGTCAATCCCAAATGGTGCGAAATGGATTTGGTCCATCTCAATTCACAAAAAGGGGCCCTCAAATAGCCCCACTTGTTTTGTTGCCAGAAAAGCAACAACACAATGTCGCGAGCCTGAGCCTTTGGCCAGATCCCACCGGCTTGGATCCCGACAAGTAGCCAAACTCTTTGCTACCCCCAAGGGTCCCTTGGTACCTTCTCAGGAGGTACTCTAAGGACCCCTTTTTACACCCCTTTTACGCCATCCTCATGAAGTACCCTCCGGGACCCTCTGGGTACTTGCGATCGATTCGGTACGTCTAGTGTTCGTAACCTGGTGAGCCGAGAAAAATGTTTCACCATGGCTGTGGGTTATTTCACCGTTAGCTTTTACTAACCACTGGCCGGACGTTCCGAATCGATCGCCCCTGTAGTCTCCTCAACAAATGCCTGCCCAATCCGAGCTCGCGGAGATGGTTTCACAGTTTCTGCGCCAGTGATGTTCAATACCTCTTTTGGACCGATGCTCAAAGCAATAGGTTACTAGCTTCCAACTCCCGGGTAAACCAAGAAAAATCTTCGGAGTTGGCCTACCCTGACATCTAAATTCATTTTGGAGAAGACTCAAGCCGGAAGTGAGCCAACATCTCGCCTCCACTGTTGGGCGCACCAATGAGATGTTGTGATGCTTCCGAACATGAAACATATACGTTAATTTGCTTAAGTCCCTTGGAAACAATAACAAAGCTGTGTCCTGTGACAGGCGCACGTTAAAAAACGGACCATTTCAGCAAACTGAAGTATTAATAACAAAAAACAAAAACCTAAACTAAATCACAACAACAACTCAACTCGCCCCAAGTCATCGGCCAAGCCGCACGATCTCCATGTCGATGGTTCGTGCCGTATCCTGTGAGCCCGCTCGCTCCCTGGCAACAGATCATCAAACATGGGCTACTCTTCCCAACTGAGGTCTAACCCTTTGTAGGCATAGGTGGCCTTTTAGAAAAATAGATGGGTTGCCCTGGTAAATGGGGCAGAACCCCCACCTAAACCAGTGGAACCCATCTATGTTTAATCAAACTAACCTAAAAAGGACACCTATGTTTGTAGGTTAAAGCCAAAAAACTGTCAGCAAGCCTACAGCCTACGGATGCCCCCTATGAATCTCGCAAGTTGACCTGTAGATTGCCGACATTTCTATGGCTCAGCTCCCTTAAACCTCAAGCATTAGGACCTCAGAGTGATCTGAACTAGGCCCTACATGGAAATCAAGGAGGGAACTCGGGTTCTTTGCTGTTCTACCAGTCGAGTCGGCACTGCTCTCCAGGGCTTCATTCCCCATTCTTTTCAACCATCCTTCTTCTCAAAAACCGATCGCTGTTTCCAACCTGGGGTTCCGATGGTTTTCTGGAAAGATAAACGGATCCCTGGGTTCAGAATGGAAATGGAAGTGTCCCCTGCTCAGTGCCTCACCATGGGCCTCGTGCTGCTGCAGGGTTTCGCTGGAGCTGTGAGGAAACCGCGATGTCTGGCGATCGAAACCGCCCGCAAGCACCAGACATCTCGCGCTTTTGATCACCAGACATACGCGGCCGTGTTCCTCTTTCAAGAGGAAGCACGGCTCATGGTGACAAAAACAACCGCAAGCCAACCATATCCAACCATTGTTTTCTAAGGGCATAATCTCCAAGCCTGACGTGAACGAGTCTGCGCCTCTAATTTCTTGCGGGCCCAAACCGCGTCTCTCTTCCGGGAGCGTCTCTGGGCGAAACGACCACGGGAATCCGAGCTGGTGCCGGCCGACAGGCGAGTCGTCACTTCCAAAGCCTGAGGATCCCTGAAGCTTAAGGTCGAGCCGAAAAACATCCAATCTCTACCCAGAGTCTCCATGACCCGAAATAAAAATAGGTCCATGTCCCCATGGTTTAGAGTCATGACCCCATTTTTAAAAGGTCGGAAGGAGACTCCAGGTACTGCGAAAACACCGGCTAGCGCCACACGTTCTCACTTCTCAAGTGGATTGGCTTAAACAAACCAGCCGAAACTTGTTGTTCATCACTCAAGCATGGCCTTCCCACGAAGAAAGTCCTGGAGCTCAGCGAGCCACAAATGGCTGACTCAGTAACAAGGGGGTTGTCCCTTCCATAGCCCAAATCAGAGGGTACATAAAAAAAGCATGCTTTCAGGTTCTGTTTCAGGTAGAGTCAACCTTAAAATATAGCATATGTTCTGAGACACTCCCAGAAACTTAAACTTATTCGAGGGCGTCTCCCATTCATTTGGCCAGACAGAGCCGACAGCTGCAAAAGTTGCATTTTGCCGGTTGAAAGTTGAAACGGACCTGGGAGGAAACCCAAGAGGGCAAACGGGCAAAAGCTTTTATTTTTCAGGGGTGGCCACGTCCTTAATTAACGGTTGACTAGCATAAGTTCGCAAAAGGGGTTAGCCAAGATTGGCCAATCTTCCCTCTTACTTCCCGAGCTTCAGAACTTTAACTCGCTTCCCGAGTGGACGGCCCCAAACATGTCCAAGCTTTTTATGTACCACTACCTAGGTCCTCCAGTTAGAATAAGGGTACCCTTTTCTCTGTAGTCTGTTTTAGTAGGGGAACCCTCCCCACAAAAAGGGGTGAGAAAGGGCACTGCTGGGGGACCTAGAAAATGGTCCAAACCCAAAGAGCGACTAAATTCCAGAAACTTAAGAAGTGAGTCCAACTTGGGAAGTCTGCCACGCAGAGACGTGGCCCAGCCCAGCCCAGCCGCCTCTGACTCTTCGGCGACATGGAGTGCTGATGGTTCCACAGCCCGCTGCTGTCGCTGTTGTTCAGGCCGCAAGAGTTGTTGGACATGCCTGCCGGAAGAAAAAAAAGCAAAAATCGAGAACTGGGAAACCACCCACACGCTTTCTGGCTCGGTTGCCGGCACCCCACTCTATTGATGGCAAAGAAGTTTGTCAACTTGCAGATGACATGGTTTCTTTCTGGTTCGATAGGCAGAAAACTGATCCGTAACCATCCCCTATATCAGATATTGCTGCCTGGCATTATCATACTCGCTGCTACTATTCCGAAAATGATAGCAAAACATGTATTGAATAAAGAAAGTAAAACTATCTAGGTTGATTCCCAAAGCCCCGGGTTATTTCCTGGGCACCGGAAAGATATCGGTGGAGTTCGACTACCCCAAAAAACGCGGCGGAGGTGTGTTTTTGTATCGCTTGAGAGGTTTTAAACCAGAAATATGGTTGTGCAAGACAGTACCATCTCAAAAGGCATGGAACCTGTTTTTGGGAGGGTACGCCAGTTATCCTCCCACCACGAAACATGGAACCTGGCTGGAGAGCGGGGGATTCCGGAAGACACTTTGGCTCTAAAGGGACGCTCAACACCAAAACCACGCAGAATGCGGTAAATTAGGGAGTTGTCTCCTCCCCTCCTTGCTTGTTTGGCTTCCGCTAAGGGAATCCCCAGGTTCATGCCCAAAACTCATGTTGTTTCCTTACCCTCCTTAATTCTACAACTCCTTACAAGCCAAGGCTTTGTAAGGCTCCTTATGAGCATCCCCATAAGCTTCCTTTATTTTCCCTCTCGCAGTTGGTGAGTTTCCCTTGGGGTGTTGGAAGGGGAAATCTGGGGAAGCAACTGTAACACTCGCAAGGGTAGAACGCAAAACACAAATCGCTGTGTAAGGATTCGTCTGTTGGGTGACTCCCCTTTCAGTGCCATATTGAGGGGTGGTTCCTAAAGGGTTGGGGATCACAATCGATTTACTCCCGTACCCCTGAAAAGGAGACACCTATTTGGGAATGAAGGCTTCCATTTGCTTAAGTCCCCAAAAAATAAACATAGATCTCCAGTCGTGCTAGATTGCCTTTAAAACCAGCAGGGGAAAAAACACAACAACCATATTTTCGTTTCAGCAAGTGGCTAGAGGTGGGTTGCTCTTCTTTCTGGTTCTCAATGAAGAAAATTCTCACTTCCCAAGTTGACTGGCCAAAAAAAGTCTGAACTTTTTATTTACCACTGAAATGGTCTTTCCAAAAAGTTTAAAGTCCATCAACTCAGGAAGTGAGATAAAACCTTATTGCTCACCATTCCCTGAAAGGCCAGGCCTGGGGCTTTTTCAACACGTTGTCCCACGGTGTCCACCTTCAAACCATGGAAACGAATGCTACTGTGGATGGACGAAATCCATTTCGCACCACTTGGAAACCATGGTTGAATCCATGGTTGGTTGGTATTTACAGGGGAATCATCATTCTAGGGTTTCGTGGGTGGTGCAGGATTTCGTCCATCCACAGTAGGTCCAACCCAGATTTGAGAGGTTAGAATAAGGGTACCAACTTTTTATGTAGTTCATTTTAGTAGGGTAGCCCTCCCGCAACATAAGGGTAAAAGGGCACTACTGGGGGACCTAGAATAGGACAAGCCTACCAACACAACCAAAGAAAACCTTCAAACTGCTATAAACCCAAAGGGCACCCGAAGCAGTAACAAAAAACGGGTGTCCAACTTCCCTTCCAATATGGCTGTGGGTCAAGAATAGGGTAACCCCAAAACGGAACCCTAGTAAGTGGCAACATGGACCAAAACCTGCGGTCCCCTGGTGGTTTAATTCTTCCCTTTCAATATGGTTATGGGTCAAAATTAAACCACCAGGAATTGGACCGCAGGTTTAGTCCATGTTTCCATTTACCAGGGTTCCAGTTTGGGGACATATTTTTGACCCACAGCCATATGGCCTCTGTTCCTATCGAGTGCCTCGCAACTCCAGCTCCAGCAAGTGCTGCTGTGCCAATCGTTGCAGCAGAAAGTCAAAGGTCTCCGAGATCTGCGGGCCTACGGTCGGACTGTCGGGCTATAAATCTAGGCTGGAAGTAGTTGACCCCAGCACAAAAACTCGGTTGCTTTCTGCTCCCCTGCTAAAGGTTTACCCTCCCTCCAACAATCATGGAAGCTGACAGGAGGGTTTTGGAAGACTATTTTCCTTTCGGGCAACCCCTTTGTCCACTTCCATGATTGTTGGACAAAGGGTAACTTTTAGTGGTTTAGTGGAAAACCCATTCGTTGGCAAAAAATAAAATCCTAGCAGCCAAGCAAAATGCACCAAAGAAAATATCTTTTTGGCCTGGTCTGTGGACAGCACAGCGCCCCCAAAAAAGCAAACCAAATAACAAAAAGGGGAGCTATTTATGGGGAAGAAATGTTCCAGACCCAAAGCTACCCTGAAAAATCAGGGAATATTGCCCCTAACAAAAATATCGTGATCTCCAGTTTGGGTCCGGGTAGCAGTGCAAACGAAGCATGTGGGATGTTGGGCCTGGAACATGTTGGAACAGGGGGGTCTTTTTGCCACCTTTTCTGGAAAATTGTTCGACCCCCTGGTAGTGAAGGATTCCTTCTTACGGGGGGTCGGCCAATTTTCTCGCAACAGGTGGCAAAAAGACCCCCTTGTGCTGGAAACGGTGGGGCCCGGTGCGGACCCTGAGGCCCTAAGGGCGTTATTTTTCCCCCCCCCCAACAGCTGAAAGCCCAGATAGGATCCGGGGCGGTCCGCGGCCCTGAGGTAAGGTTCCACGATGGTTCCAGCAGGGTTCCACCAGGGTTTTATCAGGGTTCCACGAGGTTGTGCGAGGGCTGCGGGGTGGCGCGAGCACGAAAAAGAGCACCGCATGCTGTTCGGGGATATCACCTGAGCTTATTTTTTGTTTTTTGTGTGGGTGAGGTAGGTGTGTGTGTGTGTGTGTGTGTGTGTGTGTGTGTGTGTGTGTGTGTGTGTGTGTGTGTGTGTGTGTGTGTGTGTGTGTGTGTGTGTGTGTGTGTGTGTGCTGGCAATGTGCCTTTCCAAAAACAAAGGGGAAGCAATGCCAATCAAGCCTTACGGGTTCTCAGAGAGCCCTCAATTGTTCTGGATTGCTGGTTTTGGGATTTGAAGGATACATGGGAAACCACCCCGGAACACCTCCAAACCACCCATCCAAACCACTTAATGGGAGACCAGTTAACTCACTTATTCACGAATTGCCTACAGTTCGCCAGTGTGAGTTACATATGACCCCATCTTAGAGGCAAGCTGAGGTACTGTATCTAGGTCCTCCAGTAGAGAGGCTAGAACAGGGGTACCTTTTCTCTGTAGTCTATTTTTGTAGGGGAACCATCCCCCCAAAGGGCACCAATTGCTGGGGGACCTGACCCTGAATAGTAACTGAGGGTCAATTGATCAGAGGTCAACATTAGGAACCCCTGGTTGCCCAACAGCCCTGGAGGTTGATGACCCCTACTGACCCCAGTTGGCAAGCAGCCATCTTCCTTCCAGGAATCTTCTTGCTCGCCTAAACATCTTGGTGGCCTCAAAGGTAGGGCTCACCGATGAAACAAAATCGAGCCGCGTTTCGCGTGCGCGCGCGCAAGCCTGTTCTCACACAAAAACAAGGTGCTGTCCGCCATTGAGAATTCTAGGGCTTGATTCCTTGTCCGTTCTTTTCAACCATGGTTCTTTTACCAAAAATCGGATCTGTTTCCAACCTGGGTTATTGATGGTTTCCTGAAAAGAAGGATCCCTGGAAAGAATGGGGAAGGTACCCCTAGAACAATTGAAACTCGTTCAGAGGCTAAAAGAAAGCCAGCCCACCAAGCCTGACTCTGACTCATTCCTCAAACGTTTTTTAATTTCGTTCCAAATGTGACAGCAAAGAATCGCAACCCACTGGTACTCGGTTGCGAAATCTGCGAAGCCCTGCTAAAAGTTTTTAACCTTTAGTGGTTTAGTGGAAAACCGTTTCATTAGTTGGCAAAAAGCTACAGTCCTAACATCCCTTGGCAAAATGCAGCAAAGAAACAATCGCAACCCACTGGTAAGTGGATCAACTTCCGACTTGCGAAGCACTGGAAGTCCAGTGGCTTTCAAGAAAGGGCACACGAAAACTGCCCGGAGTATCTCACGGGTTACCAACACCAGCGATTCCACGGGTCCTTGAGCGGACTCCTTTGTGGCTTTGCTTTGGGAATAGTTCTAGGGGTACCTTCCAAATCCATTCTTTCCAGGGATCCTTCTTTTCAGGAAACCATCAAAAACCCAGGAGAAACGGCCGATTTTTGGTAAACGAACCATGGTTTAAAAGAATGGACAAGGAATCAACCCCTAGAAAAACCAAGGGGGTATGCACCGTACGTGCTTCCGTTCCATACATTTAGTTGATGTTCTTCAAAGGAAGTTAATTGCACTTGAGCTCAAACTCTGAAAAAGAAAACACTTTGAGAATTATGTTTGTCTCCCTTTGCTTCCTTTAGCTTGGTGGGGCACCTTCTGATTTGCTCTCTTTGTTGCCTTTTGTGAGGTGGGGGGGTGGGGGCTGCTGAATTGATTGAACATTAGTTATATTTTGCCTTTTGGGGACCTAGATGGGCTGTTCGCTTGAGCAGAGGACATGGGCCGAACCGAATGGCCCAGAAGAACGTTGCTGGGCGCCGAACTCACCACAAAAAAAGGGACATGCTTCCGACTTGACGAAAAGGGAACAAAAAAAGCACATGGCTGTGGTACCCCAAATGGCTTGCCCTGGTAAATGGACACGTGGACGATTTAACCTGCAGTCCAATTCCTGGTGGCTTAATTTTGACCCATACCCACATGAGAAGGGACCTCCACTAAACAAACCAGAGGGCAAGAAAAGGGAGGCTTTTTTGAGGAACAAACCAAGGAAATAAGAAATAACAAAGAGGGGCAAAGGACAACAAGGGAACAACAGGGAACATGTGGGGAACACAAACGGAAATTCTGGGAACACCATGGGAAACACCACCTAACGGAACCTCTTGGGTCTGGTTGTTACAAGGAGTCAACAGAAATCAAACCCAAGCCTACCCAAAAGAACGGGGACCCTGCCCGAACGAAGGAAACAAAGTGATTTCACCTATGTCCAACTCTGCACTTAGGAGGGGTTTCCTGGTATCACAGTGGGAACAAACTGTTCTACAATGGCCCACCCAACAGGCCGGGATTTTTGTTGCAGCCCCTCAACAGGCACTCAAAAAGGTACTTCAAAGGCTTAAGTGCCCTTTGAGTTGTTGGTTTGCAACCCTTTTTTTCGTATGAACACCTGTTTTTGTCGCTTTTTTTTTCCGCATGAAAACCTGATTTTTGGAAAAAGCCCCCTCCCCCATGGTGGTTTTTGGTTTGCGGTGTCCCTTGCAACAACCCACCACGGGGCAGCAAATCACATGGATCGCTGAGTGGCCGTGTGGCACCGCGGACTTGGAGGTCAGGGAGGCAGTGGGCAAGGAGCCCACACCATCCTGATGCGTGGTCAGACCCTAGCCCCTTGGACCCCAAATTTCTGTGGATGGTTGAAATCGAAATCCTGGAGACCCTACTGCGTCAGGTTTGGTGGGCTGGCTTTCTTTTGATCTCTGAATGAGTTTCAATTGTTCTAGGGGTACCTTCCAACCAGTCTGAAACCAGGGATCCGAATCTTTCCATTTACCAGGGCCCTGATCAATGATATGGAACATGGAAAAGGCCCTGGAGTAATAGCAGCCCAACCCAGAATGCGCTTTGGTACGGACCTCCCAAAACGGGTGTTTTCCTTTTGGTTTCCCCTGAAAACCACCCCAAAAAGGGTAACCTCAAAGAACCAGGAGCCATGGCAAAGGATCCCTTGGTACTTCATGAGGATGGCTCTTGGAAAATAAACAGGGGCCGTTCAGTACCTCCTTAGAAGGTACCTACTTGGAACCTCTCAATTGGCCAAAGCCTAGCGCCTTGGACCCCCAAATTACTGTGGTTGAAATCGAAATCCGAGACCGCACCGCGAGATGAAACCAATGAAACCATCGTTGTTCTGGTATTTGAAGGGGAATCGAATCATTCCAGGGTTTCTTAGGTGGTGCAGGATTTTGTCGCATCATTTTTTGAGGTCCAAGGGGCTCCTAGAAAAACAAGCCACATCTAAACGCCGCTGGTCTTCCCAAGGCAAAGTTTAAACCAAAGGCAGTGATCTGGGTCCACTTTAGGACATCCTCAAAGTTGCCCTCTTTTTGTTTTCTTAATGTCAACCTAAGTTTAATAAACGGGGGCGTCTTAATAAAATTCTCGGCCACCGGACCCGCTTTTTCACCCAATAAAGGGAAGTTGACATTAAAGGGAAGCCAAAAATGGAAATGAAGACGCCGACACTTGTCACCAGAATCCAAACCTGAACCGCTGCACCGCTTGAAGTCCACTAACAGGCTCGATAGGCGTGCCAGGCTGGCTCACTGCCTCGTCCAAACCGTCTTGCTTGTCACTAACATGGACTTCCCAAAATGTGTCAAGTTCGTGAACTCAGGCAGTGAGCGGGACAATTTGTTTAGCGCATATCCCTCCTCTTGTGGCTTCCTTTCGGGGAAGTGCCGCAACCCGAAATGTAGGAAAGCCGCTGGTCAGATAGTTGCAATGACCCCAAGCTGAAGCATTCCTGGTGGTTTCTTTCAAGGGGGTGTTTACCCCTGAACCTAAAGCCAGGCCAAATTCCTTACAGGTTCCATGATTGTCGGAAGGGTTCGTCATTTACCCTCCCATCCCGGAAGACACCTTGTTCTCTCCAAGGGATCTGGTGGCTTGCACGTTGGGAGTGGGAGGGCGCTTGGAGAGCTTCAGGGAGATATTGCTTGTGCTATATGAAAGTTTCAAAAGGAAGCCAGTCTTCCAGCACACCTCCGCATTTCGAGGAAGGAGGCCACCTAAACGTAAGTATTTCCAGTGGCAAATGAGTCATTTCCCATATGAGTCTAAGCTGGGCACCAGGAATAATCGATTCCCCGTAATCAATTTCCTCTTCGGTCCTCGGGATCACTGGTCCAAGAAAAGAAAAACAACCGCGTCTTCCGCGATGCAAATGAGAGGGTTTATATACGAATCATTTGGCTTTGAAGGGAAACCTGTGTGTAACCGATCGGGAAAATATCACATGAAAAATAACATCCACAATACACTTTCTCCAGCATAATTCCTTTCGGGTACATACTGCGCTAGCTAAAAGCCTCTTTGTTCCAGCACAAGAGATGGCTAAACACTTGGTTGTAAAACATCCTCATTTAAAGAATCGATCGATACCTTTACACAAACGTTCCATATCGGCATGAATCTCTTTTTTTTCTTCGGGACCCTTTGTTGGACATCATTTAGGTGCGGATTCACGTCCACCAATCACTGTTGATGTGGTTCCCCCATTAAAATTCACACAAGTGGAAAGATCCCTCGGCCGCAAAGTTGCTGTGTGTCCAAAATCAGAACTACGAGCATGTTTTGTGTCAGGGTAAGTTGTGAAAGGTTGGTTTAAAGGGAAGCCAAAAGGAAAATCCATGAACATCCACAATGTTTGGAGCCAAAAAAGAAAACCAGCGCCAGCAACCCAGCAACCGCTCTTGGCGGTAACTTCAACCCCAGAGCGCCTGACTTTCATCTCGTCTGTCCTGACAGTCAGGCAGGCCCAAGTTGGGCCCTTAATTTAATCCAATTTTTGCTTTTTGGGCGGGGTGGGGTGGGGGGAGGGTGTGCTGGCACAAATCAAATGTGCCTTTCCAAAAACAAAGGGGAAGCAATGCCAATCAAGCCTTACGGGTTCTCAGAGAGCCCTCAATTGTTCTGGATTGCTGGCTTTGGGATTTGAAGGATGGGAAACCACCCCGGAACACCTCCAAACCACCCATCCAAACCACTAGGGAGACCAGTTAACCCACTTATTCACTAATTGCCTATACTCTTTTGAGGTTTCAGGGAAAGCAAAAACAAACCTAAGAACACCCAAAAGAAGCAAAAGGAAATCATTGGAAACTAAGGGAACCCATCCTAACCCCAATAAAGGATACCAAACAAAACTCTTGGAAACCAAGGCAAGCCCAAGTAAGCCAACTGAACACCAAATAGAACCCACATGACCAGCAAACGACACCTGTTCGCCCGTTTTGCGGGCTCGCAACATGAGCCACGGTCAAAATGACTTACTTTCCCCACTCTCTTTGGTCAACTCTTGCCCCGAATGAAAAGCGCTTCCATGCTTGTGGGATCCAGCAGAATCAGGGATATCTCTCGAAGACTTCTGGTGCGCTATATACTGTGGATGGGCGAAATCCTGCACCACCCAAGAAGCCGTAGAATAATGATTCCCCTGTAAATACCAAGCAACCATGGTTTCAACCATGGTTTCAGTTCCTGGTGCGGGCGGTCACGGGGTCTCGGATTTCGACTTCAACCATCCACAGTATCTTTTACCCGTGGGGGGGAAAGAACAACAGGGATCCTTGCATTATACACCTGAACATTGCAACTTGTAAATTTACTTTGGTGTTGAAAAAGCCAGCCATGTTTCAAATGGGCGGTTGCAACATGTGTAGATCTTTTTTCAGAAGCCCTGAACCAGATGGCTCGCTTGGCTTAAGCTCGCTCGCTTTGGGCCAGTGGCTCGGGCTACGCCAAGTAGCTGTTACGGCCTCCTCTTTCAAGGGTCCGACTCCCGCCAAGAGCAAACGACGATCAAAGACCTGGGTGGTCCAACTAGACCTGGGTCCACCACTGGGACTAAAGGGTCCCCCCGAACAATGGGGGCGCCGGTTTAACATCTGGAGGTCCGGTGGAATTGAGTTTCCATTTGACTCTAGTAGGCTTGAGTTTTACATTTGACTTAGTATTGCTGGAGCTTCCTTTTGAGTTCTCGATGGGGGTGAGGCACCAAGACATTTTTCCAGCCCCCGAAAAGTCGAATTGGGGCCTGAAGGAGTACCTCCTTGGGTTTGATTCTGCGCAGTATGGAAGCATAGCAATGGGTTTGATTGAAGAGACGTGTAAGAACAGGGTTGTGGGAAATGGAATCCACTTCTGTGATACAACAAAAAGGGCTTCCCAAAGACTAACACCCCATATAAAGGGGGATATCCCCTTGTATCACAGAAGTGGGAATAAAACCCTTGATTCCACAACCCTGTGTAAGAACATATGAGCTTGGGAAAGCTGACCATGGATTTGGGGAGCAGACCCAAACCCAAATCTGGCTAAAAGGTCTTTTTGCAGGGCAGGTGGTACTTCTTCAGGGAGGCCAGGCAACAAGACTTTATTCTAGTCACCCACAAATTTGAGCCCGAGACTTTATTTCCAAGGCCCCAACGAAGTCTAGCTCCCCACCTCCCTCGAAGAAGTACAAACCTGCCCAGAGTAATTACCTCTTAGCCGCTCAAAAATTAGACAGCCCAGGTGATGCTGTTGAAGCTTCACCCAATTCGACCTGGTTTCAGGGGCCCCTATTTGATTGCGAACAGACTTTAAACAACAGACATGTTTAAGAAGACATGACTTTGGGGAAGCTGAACATTTCGGGAAAGGCTGAACTTTGTTATGTATGTTTCACAAAAGATGAGCTTGAGGAGGGCGGGTGCTTGTCTTCATTCCAGGTGCATTCATTCGTTTTTTCTGTGCCACTCGTTGGTCTTTATACCAGGTGCACATGTTTTAATCCTGGGTTGACATTGGTAGTTGTCCCTTCCAACCCCCCTTTTCTTTATGGAAAACTAAGGGAAACCAAGGGAACCAAGGAGAACCAACGGCGTAGTTGAGTGGGAAACCAAGGGAAGTCCTAGGAATTGCTCCGACCAATCCCCCCCCCGGTCCGTGCAAATGGACGAGACATCCTCCTGCGGGCTTGCCAGTGCGCGCCCAGGAGAAACGCACGTTCCATTTAGGGAACCCATTTCTCACTTGCCCAAAGGACCTGGAAAAATGAGGTTCACCTTCTTATGGGCTGCCCGTTTTCGGATCCCCCCGCTAAAAGTTTTAACTTTTCGTGGGTTAAATGGAAACTACACCACTAAGCACTAAAAGGCTAACAAGCTAGGGGGATGGCTGGGAGCCACCAAGTTTTTATGGGGCCTTGACTCAAAATAGACCAACATGGGGAAACCAAAAGGTTCAAAGGTCGGCCTTGGGCAAGTGAGATTTGGGTTTGTCTCTGGGTAACTCCTGGTTGGCCTCCCTTGGTCCCCTGAAAACCAAGCAAGCAAGGGTACCGGCACAAGAAACACACACACACACACCCAGTTGCATTCTGTTTCAACTTAGTTCAATTCATTGAACCACGTGACGTGGTTCCCAACAAAACTCGGAAACGTGCTTTCTTAGTCGTTCCGAGTTTCTTCTCTAGTTCCTTAGCTTCCTCAAGTCTTCGGGGAGGTTGGTGGGCGACCTTGCCTGTCGACACCCATTGTGATTGAACATCAAGTAGATCCTTTGCAAATGGTTGGATTGATATTGATATTGGTTCTCCTCAAAAAAAAACAACAACTGGGCCCCTGGTTTTGACACGTCAACCATTTTCGCACAAATTACTCTAAGTCACACATCAAAAGAAGGAATCCACCAAGTAACGGACCTTCATTCCGTCAGCATCACTCATTCCCCACCCAATGGGTGAGCTCATTTGTGCAGCTCCCACTTGAGGTGTCACCCACTAGGTCTGATTCCCCCAGCCGGCACCCTTTTCTGAGATGCACAAAATGTACATGTCCGCTTAACATCTTCAGCTTACGCAAACAGAACTGGGCTGCCCTCAGATCCCCTGCTAAAAGTGTTTAAGTTTCCGTGGGTTACATGGAAACTACCGCTAAACCAAGCCTAAAAAGCTAAGCGACCGGATGGCTGGGGGCCACCAAGATAAAACATCAAAAATGGGGGAGAGCCCGGGCCAAGTCTCAGCTTAGATCAGCGGGTTTGGAGTATCTCCAGAGATGCGGGGTGGATACCCAACACTTCATTGCACGTGAGCCAACCAGATTCAACCACAAGACCTGGCTTCATTATTCTACCATGATCAAAGCCGCCCCCTAAGTGGTGGGTTAAAGGGAAACAACCGATTCCATTTTCTGACTTTGGTAACCCCCAGAAACAGTCAAAACAAGGACCCCAGAAGACCTTTGACGGAGTTGCCGGCCAGAAGTTTACAAACGATTCCTGGTTCTTGGCATCCACCCCGCCTACCTACTTGTATGGTTATTAACGCTGGCGGTTTCCAACTTCGAACGCTTGTAACAGGGTTGTTTGCAACCAGGGTTGCTACCCACATTCTAAAGGGGCTTAATGATTACAAACTCTTACAATCCATGTGTGCCTTGCGGTTCTTTGCCGTACCCCACCCTATTCAATTTTGCTGTGCCCCAGTGCGTTCTGCAAATCGACCACCTCATAAGTGTCAAAAGCCCTACTGCGCCGTTGTCAAAACTGGAACTCTGGACACTGGATGGGTCGCCCCATCAGGTGTCTCCAGAAGGCTCCAAAAGCAAATCGCTCGCCACAAGGGGGAGGGAACTTGGGGCGTCTTTCGGAAGCGTTGTCAGGTTTGCCTGAAGGGAAACCAAACCCAGAGGGTCCCTTGGTACCTAAGGAGGTACTGAACGACCCCTTTTTACCCCGCAAAATCCTCATGAAGTACTTGGACCCTCTGGGTTATATTGGTGGTATGTAAACATCCATACTGCTACCGTGGATGGTTGCGAAATCCGAGCCCGCACCACGAAATGAAGCCAAAAGGCTTTGGTGGCGCACCGCCTTTGACACACGCCTTACCCGCCGCTCCTCCGGATTCCGAGGCCGGTGGTGCCGGACGTCCGACAAGTGCCCGAAGCGGTCCCCCATCGCGCTTCGAGGTTCGAACCGCGCCGCGGGGCCGCGGAAGCGGCGTTCGAAGCAGCTGAGCCAAGGAAGCGGCGAAGCAAGACGTTGAAACTCACCTGGTATGCCGAATGTATGTGTATATAAATTTGTGACTATATATATATATATATATATATACGTATATATATATATATGTATATATGCATGGATACTATGATATATATATATATATATGTGTACTTACGTGTATATATATATATATACTTATATATCTATCTATAATGTGTATATTTACACACACGCACACACCGGACTCCATATATGGCCATAAATTTCATGATACACCTTAGACCGCAAGACATGCTCATATGGCTTTGTGCGGCTGCCGTGAAACAATCCGAGATCCATACGTGTTGTGTACGGAAATGACCGCAGGAAAAGCATGGTCCTGCGGGCTGCCATGTGGATATTCCGCTCGATAGGACTCTATGGGCGTCAGACTCCTGCCCCCCAACAAAAAGAAGTCACGTTTCTCCAAAAATGAGACCCTTGCGGCCTTAAGGCCAGGGGTCAGGGAGGATTAGAACATCGAACATGATTTTCCCCCAGATGTCAGGGGCCACCTGCAACACTGCTGAACAGAGCGACTGGTTGGAGAGCTCACTTGAGATTTACTTGGCCCAACCTTGGGGTGCACGAAAACACATATGGCTGTGGCTAAAAAAAAACGGAATTCCTAAATGGGTTGCCCTGGTAAGTGGAAACATGGACCAAAACCTGCGGTTTGCCCCTCCTGTTTAATTTTGAGCCACACCCGTATCTTCTGATTCTGGTCCATACTCAGTCAAACCTTTAAACATACAATATGTTTTGAGGAGACCCCAGTTTAGGGCATCGCGAAGGGCAATGAACACCTGCTACAAGTGCCCAATGGGCACTGTTTTTCCACCGGAACAGCTCAACATGTGCAGCAAAGCAATGCACAACCATCAATCTGTCA